AAAAAAATCCCATCCCTGAAATGTTGGTCATATTGGGGACACAAAGGATTCAGAAGCTGATTTAAAAAAAAAAAGTTCAATCATGCACACACATAAAAAACCAAATATGAAAGGTTTTCAAACTAAGATATTTCATTTTGCAAGTCAGGTACGAACCCTACAGCCAGTAACCAAGAAATAAAGGACAGACTGGATCACAAAGCATACTCAAACAGACAGGCAGGAATCAAAATATTTTTCAGTGGAGTACAGATCCTTTTCCCCTTCTCCATGAGAACAAAATGGAATCCCTGTTATCTTCAAAGACTTTGGGTAGGTGATCAGGTGGCCGGAATCCTTTCTGATCTACTTGATTAGCATCTGACTCCAGCCTGCCAAGATTACAGGGTAGGAAAAATAGATTCCCACCTCCACTTGGGTATGTCAGTTTCCAGTTGCTGTTGGTACAGATAATTACATGTTTAGGAAACTGAAATAGGACGCATCTGGAAGACAGACGTGCAAAACCAAGGTACTGGCTAGCTTTCCTATCTTCTGGAACACTAGTTCTCAACCTGTGGATTGGGACCCACTGGGACCCTTTCACAGGAGTCACCTAAAACCATGGGAATACACAGACACTGCGTGGTTCATAACAATAGAAAATGTACAGTTATAAAGTGGCAACGAAAATAAAATAAATTTTATGGTTGAGGGATCACCGTGGCATGAGGAACTGTATTAAAGGGTCATAGCATTAGGAAGGTTGAGAACCACTGAAGCTTTAAGAGAGAAACCATTTTTTTTCTTGTTCTTTTCAGCTTCCAGGGTACTGGCCCTGTGTGGCTCCCAGCCTGGCCTTGGCATCAGTCTAAGATCTGCTTCTTACTCTGATCTTCTTGTGTCTTGTGATCACATCAGATTGACTTAGCTAATCCAGTCAAACACCCCTATCTGAGGACAGGTTCAGAGTCTGTTCTGTGAAAGAATGTGCCATAGTATCATTGGGACATGCCTGTCTTTAGGGAGGATACTTTTCTGCATGTCATTGTATCCTGGCTTGCTTTCCATGGCTGTGATGAGCACCATGAACAACTTAATGTGGAGAAGGCTTATTGTAGTTTAGACTTCCAAAGCATACTCCATCGCTGAGGGAAGTCAGGCAGGAGCTCAAGCACAAGCAGACACAGGAACCATGGAAAAGTCTGCTCACTGGCTTGCTCCCCTGGGCTTTCTCGGCTTTTTTTTTTTCTTAAAATTTTTTTTAAACCTTCTTTTACCTGTTATTTTTGATTACATATATAACACATAAATGAATGTTTTGCCTGCGTGTGTGTCTGTGCACCATGCTTGTGCACTGTTTCCAGAGGCCAGAAGAGAGCATTCAATCCCCTGATACTGACAACACATATGGTTGTGAGCTGCCACCTGAGTTCTGGGATTCAAAACCTGGTCTTCTGAAAGAGCAGCCAGCCAGTGCTCTTAATCACTAAGCCATCTCCCAGCCCAACCCTCAGCTTGATTTCTTATATACACTAGGATCATCTGCTTACTGCTCAGGGATAGCAACACTCACAGTTTACGAGGCCCTCTCCCATTAACTCTTAATCAGGAAAATGCCCAGTAAGTAAACCAGAGACCAGACTGAGAAAGACAAACATTGCATGCTTTCCCTCATACATGGAGTTAGCTTTTATACTTTATATATGTGTCTTTCATTTGGAATTGGTTATCTAGTAAGGGACCATGGGAAGGAGATCTTCCAAGGAAGAAGACATAGAATATGGTGTTATAAAGGAATATATTAGAAAACTAGTATAGAATGATTAAATGGGGAGGGTACAACATGAATCTTAGGAGGAAATCTCCCTACTACAGTTCTGCTAAATGAACAACAATAAAATGATATGTAATGACTCTTAATTGCTTTACCCATACATTAGTGCATTGCTAAACCTTCATCAGAAATGCTTCTTCTTGCATTAGATGGCAATTAACACATAGAAACAGAGAACCACAACTGGACAATGCATAGAGACTGAGTTTAGAGCACGTAGTCTAAAACTGGATGTCTTTATCAGACCTCTCCTCCTCAAGGTTCAGGAATCTGTGCAAAGGATGAGACAGAAAGACTATAATAACCAGATGTGATGCATGACTCCAAGAAAACAGCATCTTCCAGACACAGAAAAGCTGACGCACATATGGACTCACAGAGATCGTGACAGCACGCACAAAATATGCACAAGTTCAAACCAGACAAAATCCCAGCATGGAAAGGGGGAAGTGGACACAAAGTCTCACTTCTAACCAAGAAGCTATCTACAATTGGTACATGATGGGAGAGGGAAAATCTACTTTCCCCAGTAGAATGGCACTGAACACATAAAGCACAGTCAAGGGCAAGTCCCGTGCTCAGAAGTAATTGGGCAATACAAAACTGACTCCTTGATTTTTGTGTGCTTTGTGTGTTAGTTTTGTCATTTTGGGTTTATGTTTGCTTGTTTTGATTTTTGTTCTCTTTTAATTGGAGAGAAAGAACATGAGTTGGGCAGGTTGGGAGGTAAAGGGGAAAAGAAAATATTCAAACTTTATTGTACGAAAAAAATTAAAGACAATACATTTCAAAAAAAGAAAATCTCCAATAGACATGCTTACAGCCCTGTGTGATGGAGGCAGTTCCTCCTTTGAGGTTCTCTCTTCCCAGCTGACTTGCCAGCATACACATTCTGACAGAGAAGCATTTCCAGCCACATCTAAAAGCAGCATAAGAAACTGAGACATTGCATGAACATTAATTAATTAATTAATTAATTTCATAACTGTCAGGTAGATGTGAGTTCTTACAGCATGTTTCAACTTTAAAGGGTAAACCCTGAAGAAGGAGTCACAGTCATTCTTCCTCTTCCAGTCTTGTGTACTGCAAAGGTTACCTTGCTTCATAGCTATCACCTCCTGAATTCATAGTGTGGTCAAACAGGAGAAATTCCTGTCTTTCGTTACCTCCTGTCTCCACACCCCACTTCTTAGGATGAGGACATAGTGGGAAAGACATGGAGGAAGGAATTCTATAAATCTCAGTGCTGCTTAGATTCAGAGACTTCTTCCCAGGCCCAACGGGCATCCCTTGACTTTCTTGATGGCCCTCATATTTTACTGTTTGCAGCCACCTCATATATTCTTCTTCCTGTGTTCAGCATTTAAAGATGTCGATTAAAGACAGACATTGAATGTGGATGGATAGGTTTGCCATATCTCAACATCCCCTGTCCTTAAAGGCTAGATGGGAGGTGTTGACTCTGACCCTGTAAATGTGTTGCAGAGGACAAAGCAGGAACTGGAGCCTGGAGTGTGAGCCCTGGTTATACTCAAGAATAGTCGGGCTGGGCCCAGGGGTTAGGTCTGACAGCAAACAGAGGAATGTAGCTCAACTGCCCAGAGCTTCCTGGAGGAACTGTTTCTCTTCAGAAAGTGACAGGGACTGCAGACGCAAGGGGGCAGAGTGCAAACCTCTTCTAGACTTGTTTCGCAACATCAGAGTGTGATTTTCCTGCCTTTCCCTCGTTGCTCTAGATGAGCAAACTGGGTGTGCTGGGAAGCAAGCCCTGCTAACCCCACAAGCTCTGACTGCAAAAACCTTAGGAAATACCATGGTTCCCCTCATTCTCAGGATGAAAGGCAAGGATGGGCATTATTTGACTGGCTTTGAGAGGGATGATAGGCTCCTCCCAACTCCAAAACTGAGCTTTTGGTGTTTACTTCCATCTTAAGAGCTAAGCACCTATTAAAATTTGTTCTGTGATATTGAAAAAAAAATTGGTTCCCAAACGTATATGAGAACAAAAATGCAAGCTTTTTACCTAAGGATACCAAACTAGATACCAAGCAGCAGGCATGAATTTAATAGCTGAAAATGTTCTCTGAGTCCCCAGCTCACCCTCCACAAGTGCACATCGCATGTTTCTGTTCCATCCCATAGGGTACAAGTCCTCAAGAAAACAAACACTGACCAAAAGCAGAAATAGAAGCTTGTTTATTAATCAAATTGCAGCACTAACAAAAACTTATCAGCAAAAGCTTAGCATTGGTCAACTCCTGGACCATGAATACAAGGCAAACAAGAATATAATCTCAAATTAATGGAGAATGACCACAGTCAAAGTTGAAGAATTCAAAACCCTGACTGACTTATAGATGGGGCTCAGTGATAATGTTTGATTTGTAAGCTCAAGACCTTAAATTCACGCCCCAGTATCAGTAAAGTGAAACAATAACAGCACCCCCACCCCACCCCACCCCACACACAAATAAACTACTTGACCTAGAGATGGAGCTTAATGGTAGTGTTTGATTTGCAAGCGCCAGGTCCTAAATCAATTCCCCATCACTAATAAAGAAAAAAAAATCCCACAAAACTAAACTACCTGACTTATAGATGCAGCTCAGCGGTAGTGTTTTATTTGCAAGCTCAAGACCCTAAATTCACACCCCAGCATCAGTAAAGAAAAAAAAATACTACCTGACCTAGAGATGGAGCTCAATGGTAATGTTTGATTTGGAAGCTCAAGGCCCTAAATTCACTCCCCAGCACTAGCTATAGATGGAGCTCAGTGATAAGAGTGTTTGCTCAGCACTATCATTTCCAATAGTAGGGAACACTGGACACCCAGCTATTGACAACTTAAGTACAGGGCTTACATGTCAATATTTTTCCATTTCATGTATGAACAATGTATATAATCTGTATTCCATTATCACAGTACTTGTGAAATGGGTACTGCTTGGAAATAAACAATATTTGTATTAAAGGCAAAACAAGATCTTACCAGGCCCAGAAAATTACATGCAAGACCTAGCTAAAAGCAAAGCTCCACTCTGAAATGAACTCAAACAACACTATCCTTCCAAGACAGCCCGGTGCTGGGGAGGCTCTTATGAGGGCAGCATCTTTTTCTTAGGTCCTGTTTCCATGAACACATTATTGGGGAGTTGGGCTGTAGAGCTTGCAGGTGGCTGAGCTATTAGTGTGTGTTGTGCATGGGGTTCTGAGAAACCTGGCTTTCCTTGTGTCCTTCCTCCCTTTTGTGGATCTTCAAGTGTCTCAGCAGGCTGGATTTGTGCTTATAGCTTTTCTGACAATATTGGCAGAGAAATGGTCTCTCATCAGTGTGCTTCACTAGGTGTGCAATAACATGGGACTGCCCTCTAAAGGTTTTCCCACAGTAGGGACACTGGTAAGGCCTGGAAACTACCTGAGTTTTCACATGTTCCTTCAGGCCCAACTTGTACATAAACTCCCTCTTACACACCCCACATTGCTGTCTTTCTTGGTCAAAGTAGTCTACCTGTGGCTTGCTAACAGTTGCTGCCTGTCCAAAGGAATTGCTGCACACAGCGTGCTCATGGGAAACGAACTGGTGCCCAGAGCGGACTGGCCCGTAGGAGGGCCCTGCCCCATTTCTGGGGCCCTCTCGTGCCACCCCTTCTGCGTGAATTTCCACATGAATGTTATGCTGCTGCTGGTGAGCAGAACATAGCCCTAGCTGCTCACTAGAGAGAGGCCTCTCATTGGGAGGAGCCTGTGTGGGGGCTATACAGTTGAGAGGCCCCCGTGCTTCACTGGAGGTCCCTGGCACCTCCTGTTGGTCCTGGTTTTCTGAGGATTCCTGCATTTCCTCAGGCTCCTTGATGTCAGCCAGCAGCTGTTCTGGGGGTTCTTCACCAGGAGGTTCCAGATCGTCATACTCATTGGAGAAAAGGAAATCTGGAAGCAAAGCAGAAAATGGACTCATCCCTTTGATGTGTGCTGGCATATATTCATCATCCCCACTGCCAACCTCACAAGCTGAGAGACAGAGTGGAAATGATGGACGTCACTGTGTTACACGGAGGATAAATGCTCAGAAGGTGGGCGGAAGCTGTCAAGTAGCACCACTGACCTCCCCTACCTTTCCCTCTACTGTCTTCCCTGCCTTCTACTGAATCGCTTTCTTCCTGCCTAAGTCCCTCAGTGTGTAGGAGCCAGCAGCCCCTCCACTCATGTTTATCTTACCATGTCAGAGAACAAGCTCCAGTAGGGCTCTGTTATTGCATGCTAGAGGGAAGAGGGAAGGCAGGTGGAAACTTCACCACAAACTGTCTCAGAGTTCATTCAGCCTACTCTTTTGGACACAAGAATCTCTCCTACTTCTCGAATAGGTTATTTCACCTGGAGCCCCTGACCCATGTTGTCTGCTTTTGCTTTATAATTCCCCGAATACAAGGCAAATGCTGGCAGGAGCCTATTGTGCTTAGTGAAAAGCTAGTCTCCTGTCATTTATGGAGTTGGTGAGACTATCCAAGCTGAAAGTTGAACTGAAAGCGTTCCACATGGATCTTAAGGGGTAGTATTTAAATGGGAAATAAATCTCCCTAGTCATTTCAAATGGGGACCAAGCAACTCTCCCCTGTCAAAGTCGTGTGTGTGCGCGTGCGCGCATCAGCCCAGATTGTCTCTGTGTTTTGATTTTAGAAGTGCATTTTGTTGAAAACAGCACAAGTAACTACCAGCCATTGCTTTTGCCTGTCACCTAAGTACCACAAGGTAAAGCATCCTAGCCCTTACTTGCTCCTTGTCCCCTCCTGCAGTCCTAATGCCTCAGCAGATAGCCTGTATTCATCACTCTTTCTTAAATACCAGCCATCTGTACTGTTCCATATGACATGTGAGTTGCAATGGATTTTAATCAACATAAACCACCTTGCCAGTTCTAATGACACTCTCAGAGTTTCGGCAGCATGTGCCCAGATGCACATACCCCCCCACACACACATCCTAGGAAACCAAAGCCCTGTTCCTTAGATTCTCATCCATTCTTCTCTTCAGATTGTCTGCTCATAACCCATGCTAACTTAAGACATTGGGCAATCCTATCCCCATTGTCAGTTCCCACCCTCTATTCCTTTACACTGACTACAACACCATTGTTTAATACTAAGCAGACCGGATACTTATTGAACATATTTTCATGGATCTACACACTGCTTCCTTCTGTCTGCCTACCAAGGTAGTGAGGACATCCAGATATCTTATTACAAGGCTGAGATCAAAGTTCTTGTGAAGAAACAAGTAGATGGTGAAGGAAGTATAAACTAGTGCTGGTATAAGTTATGACTGGAAGGTACAAAAGTAAGGTAAGTTGGGAGGACATTTGACTGATAGATCCAACCTAGCCCAAAGGAATAAGAGAACTTGAGCAGGAGGTAGGGGATCCCTTGCCTTACCAATATTCAGAAAAGTCAGGCATTGGTTATCATTATCAACGATCATTTCCTCTGGCTCTGCTGGTAGTATGTCATGGAACACCTGGTCAATATCCATCAGCTGGAATGCAGATGAGTCCACTTGCATGTCTGACTGTGTAAGTAATGGACTCATTGGCTCCAGTTCTTCTTCCAAGAGTGTATCACGCACGTCGATCTGAGGAAATATTAGGACCCATCATCTCACTGGAAATACAACTACTTTTATATCCCTGTAAATACATCATCAACCATCAGCAACACAAGGAGTTTTAAGATTTCCGTCAACCACTGGGATGGTGATGGCACATGACTTTAATCCCAGCACTTGAGAGGCAGAGGCAAGCAAATGAGGACAGTCTGGTCTACAAAGTAAGTACCAGGACAGCCAGGGCTACACAGAGAAACCTTGTCTTGAAAAACCAGGAAAAAAAAGATTACTAGCAACCACTGGAAAGAACACCTATAAAGGAAGAGGTGGGGGCAGATGCATTCATACTCCCAACTGATTTAGAGCAACACTGGCCACATTTCTAGACCCTTGAAGGTAATACCTTATATTGTCATGAAAATCAGGAAGACAGACAAAGAAAACGAAACCACTCATCCTGCTACCTTCAGGAGCCAGAAACCTTTGACAGAGCCCTGTCCCAGGAGCTTCAGCTCCAGGGTAGCCCTGGAGCTGAAGCTCCTGCAAAGCAACCCCTGTCCCAAGCTGAGATCATGAATCTCAGCTGGCTGCTCCTGCTGCTTCCTCCCACGGACACTGCCCTGTGCTCAGCCATGCCTTCCCTGAACAGAGGCTTCAAGAAGTACCTCCACACAGAAGGCAATGCTGCCTCCACTAAGACATCTTTTGGATATGCTGAGAGGAGTTACTACTGGAATTTAATGGGTCAGAGATGGGTATATCATTCCTGAGACAGAGCTCTTCCTAAGATTTCTTCAAATTCAAAACGTCCTCGCTCAAACATTTCTTTTTTTTTCCGCTCAAACATTTCTATAGATGAAATAAAGTAGCAAGAACCATGTATTCTTACATATTTCTCTGAAACAGATGTCCTAGAGATGCATAACGAGAGGGAGATCATAGTATCTATTGCTCCTATTTACCCAAAACAAAGCCCCTTGCACGGCATGGTGTAGTTTACAGTGAGGTAAAAGCAGCTACGCACTTAGGAATATTGCATGATCCAGGGCAAAATGTTCAGAGCATGGGAAATTTGATGGTAATTCCTGACTGCCTTCCGTAGTGATAGTAAGCAGAGACACAGGCATGGAACCACTTTGCGGTGTCTTCAGGTAAAGCAGAGCCCAAGCACAGGTACGCAATAGTTAATAATGCTATGTAATAAACTATGTTCCCTTTTTGCTATCCTTTGTAAACTCTACTTGACTTTGGATTTTCAAACTGCTCTCCAAAGATCCTAACAATACATATCTCAGGTCATGCGGCACCACAGCAATATTTTTGGTAACTTATGTTGCCCAAGAAATTCCTTTACTGATCATAAACGCCATTTTATGTGTTTACGGGGTCAGGTACAGGAGGGACCTCTGATCCCCAACCTATGACCCATTCGCAGACTCCAGCTGACTCTCACGGAAGAGAAGTTTGAAAAGGAGTCTGGGGAAGGCCCTATAGGGGCTGTGGAATGACACGGGACAGAATGTCTCGTGTTGACCGCGCTGCCTGGGCACTTCTTTTAGTCTAAGAACAACAAACCCCAACACTATTCTCACCTTGTTCTCTGGTTCCCTGTTGTCTTCCCGCAGATCTTCTATCAGTGTGAAAAGTTGCTCTCTACTCTCCTCATTGGGCTGGCTCGGGCTGGCCCCGGTGCGTGCGGGTACAATTTGCCGGAATTTCTCCATCACGAATATAGCCAGGATCTGTTCCACAGACCATGTGTATGGCTTCAGCCACTGAGTGCAAAGCTCCCAGAGCTTGCAGAAGGCTTCCCGAGACCCAGCTGCTTCTTCGTACTGGTACTGACTGAAGCGCTGGTAGGAAGCTTCGCAGGGTGTGTCATACTTTTGAGGCTGAGGATCCTGGTGGCACAGTGAGGGGGCCTGCATTGCAGATTTGCTGGAAGTAGCTCTTATGCCCTTGGGCTATCTGTTTACAGCTTGTTTGGGGCCTGAGGTCTCAAATCCCAGTTGTTTTTTCTGGGTAGTCAACAGGGAAGTCACCTGCAATAGGGGAGGGGACTCCATGAGAAAGGAGACGCGGCAGTGGTGCCCAGAGGGTATGATCTCTGTCCTTCAGCTTTTCTGAATCTAACAAAAGGTTCTCAGAAACAGGGACCTACGCGTCTGACTCTGCACCCAGCTGCCAAAATCTGTCCACCCCTGGTCCTCTCCTTTCCATAGGTTACCCAACGGCCCCTTGGGGCTACTGAAGTGGGCCTTAGTGGAAGTTGGAGGCTCTGTTCCTAGCCACATTCTCCCTGCTCCATGGGCACCAGTGAAGATCCCTACCTGCTACTGAACTTTGTGGATCACAGGCTGGAAACATTTACCCCTAACAAGCCTCTTGAAGAGGTTCAAGACTAGAGAAATGGCTCACTGGATAAGAGCACTATCTACTCTTCCAGAGGGCCCGGGTTTGTGTCTCAAAACCCACACTGTGCTCACAACTGGTTCTAGAGTGTTCAACACACTCTTCTAGCCTCTGCAAACAGCAGATATACATAGACATACACACAGAAAAAAAAACCTATGCACATAAAATATTAATAGTAACACTTTTTTTATAAGGTGTAGGTCTCCAGCCTCACTCCTTGCATACTAATACAAGGTAGTCAAAAGAAAGGGGAGGAACACCTACAATTTCCCTGAAAAAAAATCCCTCTAGCTTTGAGTCCCCGTTTCGTAACCTGCAAACAGCAACCTGTGCTAGAGCTGGCCTACACCTGCTACTTTTCACTGCCTTTATCATATCATCACAGAGTAAGTGTAATTGCATTGATGTTCTCATGCCCAGCTCTGGCACTTTTTTTTCTCTGCAGTAGCCTTCCTAATAGCTTTTCTAGAAGAAAAGTCATTCCGTAAAAGGTGATAGCATAAAGAAAGTCTCAGGAGTTCCTATCGAGGGATATCTACTGAGTTCACCCGCATCCTGTACCAAGTCTAAACATTCTTCAGGGTGTGGTTAATCCCCATTAGAGTTTAGGAGCCAGAGAAGAGGAGTTTTTCCTTTGTGTTGGTGGGGGGTAAGATTTGAATTTTAGGGCCATAAATTAAACTATTCAAGGCCGCAAGGAAATTGCGAGATGGAAATGGTGATGAGGGCTGAAGAATGCCTAGCCTTGTTCATACCTGCATTTAATTGCTGTAGGTTGCATGGAAAAGTTTTTGGTTTTTTTGTTTTTGTTTTTTTTTTGTTGTTGTTGTTGTTTTTGTCTTTTTTTGTTTTTTGTTTTTTTGTTTTTTGTTTTGCTGATCTGTGGGTCACACAAGTGGTCACGGTTTCCCTAGGACCTGTACGTACTACCATGATGTAGAACTTCTTTCTCTGGCTGAATTTCAATCACACACACACACACACACACACACACACACACACACACACACACACACACACACACCGTGCTCCTCAGTCTCTTGGCTCTTCCCTTCCTCTTTCCTGCTTCCCTTTCTTCTACTGAAACAGTGTCTGTTCCTGACCTCTTCTCTACAAGGCTGGTCATCAAAAATACTCAGGCCTCCCCGGGCCAAACGATCACCTCCACCCCATCTTCTCCATAACACTTCTGTGCAAAGGTGAGTAGACACCTAGGCCTTGTGTGGTGACTCAGAAACACCAATGTGACTGTCCAGTGGAAGGTCTTCACAAATTAACGGGGCCACTGGTCACCATGAGCTTCTAAGATGCAGACCACACCAACCTCAGAATGAATCTATTGGAGAGAAATTTGCCTGTCTATTGAACATGGACATAGTTCTTTCCAAATCATTATAGATAGACAGGGTAAGTTATAATGAGCATTTCTACTGCATTTACATTGTGTTAGTGACTATAAGTCACTTAGATTTTTTTTTTTAGTTTTTAAAATTAGCATACAGGATAGTAGATATTATGTCATTTTCAAAGTCTATTTTAGATATTCTCCTTCCCTCAACTCCCCACCTCACTGTTCCCCCTAATAGCCTTATAGCCTCCCCCTTTATTGTCGTCTTCCACATCCTGTATATCTTTCTTCATCGTCTGTTATTAACACCTTTTGGTTTCCTTTGTAGATTTTAGGGCTTTTCCTACATTTAACTGTGTTTATAAATAACATACACATATCAAGCATAAAAATATAGTGTATATATAAACACACTGTAATCTAGGATCTCCATATGAGTAACAACATGATATCATTTGATATCATACTTTTCAGATTTATCCATTTTCCTGAATATTGTTGTCATTTCATTTTCTTTACACCTGAATAAAATTCCTTCCTATACATGCTCCACATTTGCATATTGCTTCTTTAGTCACTTAAACAAGGAAATGGAGCCAGACTAGATGTTCATTAACAAACAGATGTGTGTAACTTGTATACAAACTCTAGGTAATTTTGCCTGAGGGTATTGAGTCTGAAGGAATTATAGTATCCCAGAACATGGATGAGAAAATCCTCCATGGAACCCTAAGAAGCTCTTAGCTTCCTTGACCTAGGCATCTAGACTTCAGAATAGGACCCTTTGGGCTGGGGTCACCCAAAATATGAAAATGTGATTCATATACACAATGGAATTTTATTCAACTGTAAAGAAAGAAGTCAGGAAAATAAATGGACCTGGAAAGCATAATATTAATTGAGGTGACCCAAACTTAGACAGAAACTGTATGTTTTTCCTCATATGGAGACCCTAGACTATAGTGTATTTATGTGTATACTACATGTGTGTAATTAGTATATACATATTATATATAAACAGATTTAAGTGTAGGAAGAACCCCAAAATATACAAGCTTATTTGGCACATCAGTAGTTTACCTACTGAAGCTAAGCAAAGCAATGCAAAGAAAGATTGGAGTGTAGTGCCCAACAACCAGTGAAAACAGGGTTCTCTTTTGTTTTTAAAATAAGTTTTATGAATATTTATAAGAGAGGTGTTAGAAATTCCAGATCCCTTAGGCTCTAATCAGAGAATGCTGCAGGAAAGCACTACCTCTAGCTCTGCAGTGGTCAGCAGGAATAAGGCCAGCTAGCTTCCTATGATCCTAGGTCCAAGGCAACTTGACCAATTATAGTTATACGTTAATCAGTACTGTCTCTCCTCTTATCTGGTCAACATGACCATCCTGTCCCAAACTGAAAAGCCTTACTTCTCATCTTTAGTGTTCCCAGCATATACTTCTGTTGTTATTATTAATAGTAGTGTTTTTTTTATATTTGTTGTGCATGTGAGAGTATGGTTGCATGGATGGACTGTGGTGCATGGGGAGACCAGAGGAGGACTCTGAGGAGCCTTTGAGATAATACCCCTCTACTGTGGGTTCTAGGGATGGATCTAGAGACATACCAGGCTTACACAGCAAGTGCTTTTACCTCCTGAGTAATCTAGTCCTACCATGACCATTTGAAACCTAATGATCATTTTAACTCACATAATTTGTTTTTACCATGACACTGTCTGCCTTCAAGTCTTACCAACTGACTAAAATGAACCCTGCCATCCCAACCTCACAACAAACAATGCCTTCCTAGTCCCTGTTCCATCCTGTTCCAAGCTCCCATGACTGAGTGCATCTTCTACCTAGCCACCAACTTCTAATTGATAGATATCCAAGCAGAACTGGAACCACCAAGAATTAGCATCTTCCCTCACTGGCTCCTATGTTTAACTGATATGTTATCTCTGTTTGTCATTTCTCTCCACCCACCACCTGCCCTCTGATGGTAACAGACTTCCAGACCACCAACAAAGAAGCTAGGTTTATAGGCCATATTCAGACAGGAACCTCATCTTTGCCCATTAGCAAAGGGATCAGTGTCCCCAGGGCTGCATAGAATCTGGCATCATGTTGCCTTTGACAAGTCTCAAAGACTAACACTTGTTTCCCACCAGGAAGCATATGCAGGACCCAGACTGGCCAACAAATATCACCTAAGCATGCAAGTGTCAGGTGAGTGTCTAGCACCTAGGAAATCAATAGGAGACTCCCCACTTATCCACCCACCAACTTATTACATCTACTTCTCCACTTTGTGCTTTGTTTGGGCAACTATGAAAGCAGCCAGATTTCTCAGAAAGTCCTGTTCCCACCTGAGAGGCCAGAACTTACTCTTCGGTGTCCTCCTGCTGACTATCAGGAAGAAGTTAGTTTCTTCTTTTCCTCACTTAGTCTGCAATTGCAGGCTTCACATTCCTCAGGCATATCTACCTTTTTTTCTGGTTTTATTTTTTTAAGACAGGGTTTCTCTGTGTAGCCCTGGATGTCCTACACCTCACTCTGTAGACCAGGCTGGGCAAGGACTCACAGAGATTTGCCTGCCTCTGCCTCCAGGGTGCTGGGATTAAAGGCATATGCCACCATTGCCTGGCCACATTTACCTTCTGAAGCTCCAAGTGAGTAAATCTCGCCTTTAGGAGGTACCTTTGTCACCCACAGCTTAAGAAACAGACTTCCAAGCGTCAAGATGAGAAATTATAGTCGATATGTCATGATCAGGTCAGGGATAGTGAGGTCACATAAAGGCAAGCAGGTCACCCACACAAAACTGCAGAGTGCAAACGGTTTCCTTTACATTTGAATATGACATAGGAAGCACAAAGACTGGAGATTTAATCAATAATATGGTATTAAGACAGAATAATCTCAGCACTTGGGAGGCAGAGGCAGCAGCAGGTTGGAGACCAGCCTGGATATATATGAGTTCTAGGCCAGGTAAGGCTAAATAGTGAGACCCTGTCTCTGTTAGGTCTCTCGACCCCTTACGAACAGTCATGTCCTCCTTTTAGTTTTGTTTTTTGTTTTTTTTTTTTTTTTTCCATTCTGTCTCAAAAAAAAAAAAAAAAAAAAAAAAAAGGCCAGGTGATGGGAGATCTCATTCTGTATATGTTTCTCATACTGGTTA